AAAATTTTAATATATATATATATATATATATATATATATATATATATATATATATATATATATATATATATATATATATATATATATATATATATATATATATATATATATATATATATATATATATAAATTTACAAAGCACCATTCTAACAACGCTGCCCAACAAACCTTAAATATAACAAACTGCTTCTCAAAGGCGAAGTTCCACTGGTTCTGCGGATGGATTTGTAGATAATATGCCGTAAAAATGAACTTATAGAGTTAAGAAAAACAAAAATATTAGGTAACATAACATTAACATAGACATTTCACGACATAAATTACATGTGTAGCATACATTTTTTTATTGTGTTCAAGGGACTATTTAAGCAAATACAATTATCTAAGCTGTTATAAATTACACAAAGTGATCTCATTGAGCTGTTAAGTTCATAATTTCTTCTTGCAATGGACAATTTCAACGGTTCAAAATTACGAGTTCTACGAAAAGGAACATTTATTTTCCAAGTAAGTAAGTTTGAATTTTCTGATGACTCTCCTAAGAGAAAAAAGACTTTAGTTGAATCTAACAATCTTGGCCAAAATACCTTAGGTCTCGATAACTTAATAAGTTTAAATTCTCCAATTTCGCCAATTCCCCCTCCTAATACCAATAATCCATCTAAAGACAGCCGCAAAGACATAGACCTAATAATTCCTCAGAAGGTGTAAAATCTAACCCACCTGCAGTTGTAGTGCATGCTCCAACTATAACTCCTACAAACTTTTCCGCGGTTGTAAATGGCATTGATCCCTCTACTTCTAACACGCTTATCGTTATAGAACGGCGTAAAACAGCATTTGTATCTAGACTTCAACCTGATACTTCTACTGACAACAATCGCAGCTATATAAAATCTAATCTAAATGGTGTAACTGATCAAGATTTAAACATCTTTAAATTTCGTTCCTCTCAGCAGCGTGATATTTCGTCATTCAAAATAACTGTTCCTCCCACATTGTTTAACATTATTGTTAGTAGTTCATTTTGGCCCGAAGATGCCTTGGTAAAAGAATTTATATTCCGAGAACGCTCTAATTCCATTAGACCTGTGAATATCTTTCCAGCGTCAAAAAACTAATTGATGTTTGCGGGATCCTCCACCAAAATGTTAGAGGGTGAAATACTAAACTGAGAAACTTATTCCTTAAAAGCTTCTTTTGTGAATTTTGAAATAATTGCTTTTACGGAAACATGGTTAAAATCTGATGTTCTTGACACTGAGGTTTTCTCTGACAATTATCAAGTTTACAGAAAGGATCGAGCAATGAAAAAAGGAGGTGGCGTTTTGATAGCAGTTCATAACTCGCTTCCTTCTGAAATGATTGATGTCTCAGCTGATTCCATTAGTGAATTTGTCTGTGCTTAACTAAATATCACAGGTAACACTGTATTCTTAACTTGTTCTTTATTGCTCCTAACTGTGGACTTAAAATTTATATAAACCATGCCAATCTAATTGCTAAAGTGTCTTCTTTTCTTACGGATAATTCTTCGTTAATATGTATGGGTGTAATATTGTAGATTATGTTCCCTCGTCATACCCAATTGGTTTTGATGCCTTTTGGGATATTATATTTGAATCCTGCTTGTACGAAGTGAATGACATTTTAAATATTAAAGACAGATTATTGGATTTAGTCTTCTCTTCTTCGTTGAACATTTCGATTTCCAGATGCTCTCCCTTTGTACTTCCTGAGGACAGCTATCATCCCACGTGATGATAAATCTCGAATTGAGAGCCTCTTCTCCTAATATAATATCTACTAATGCTTTAATTAAAAGGCGTAACTTTGTAAAAAACAAACTTTATCTATCTTCGTACTCTTCTATTGAACACTATACGGCGTATAAGTGACGGTATTGACTCCAGTGTCTCAACATTCTATGATTAACTTAAATCTGCTTTATCTTATTCGGTACCTACTGTTAAGCAAATTATAGACCCGCTCCCGCTTGGTTTACGCCTGCACTGAGACGTTTACGCAATTTAAAAAGAAGATTATATAAAAAATTCAAGAAATCGAATACGGCATTGGATTTTTCAAAGTATTTTTCTGCAAGGTATAAATACAACTCTGAAAATTCCAAATGTTATTCTCAACATTTAATAAAGATGAGACAGAACTTGCATAATCCCATAGACTTTTTCAAATTTGTAAATTCTAAAAGGAAAGCGCAAAAATTTCCAAGTCGTATGAAACTTGGTAGTATTGAATCTAGTGATAACTTAGATATTGCTAATTTATTTGCCGTCTTTTTTCAATCATCTTATACGTCGAACACTTTTAACGGTATTTATAACTACAATATCGATAAATTAAACTATTTTCCTAGTATTATCTTAACAGAAGATGAAATTTTTTCTGGGTTAAGAACATTACGTTCTTCGTTCTCCCATGGTCCTGATAGCGTTCCAACGTATACACTAAAATCTTGTGTTAGCGAACTTTACGTGCCGCTCACTAAAAATTTCAATTATTCCTTAATAAAAGGTTATTTTCCATGTTACTGAGGGTCGAGCTTTGTCATTCCTCTTCTAATCTCTTAGAATTTGTTTGTCATGTACATAACGGTTTTGTTAGTAAACAGCAGAATGATGTAATTTATACCGATTTTAGCAAAGCGTTTGATACGGTAGTGCACAAGTTTTGCACCTTAAATTAGTTTTAGATTGCCGGACCCAAAATGGTATTTTTAATGATACATCTTCGAAAAATATTTATGTTTCTTTTGGTGTACCGCAGGGAAGTCACTTGGGTCCACTACTATTTTTTCTTCGTTATTCGTTTTTTTTTTTTTAAATTCTGATGTACGCTGATACTATAAAACTGGTTCTTCACATAAACTCACTTACCGATGCAATTTCATTACAATACGATTTACACACCCTCGTAAATTGGTGTAATGCTAATGATGTCTCTTAACCCAAAAAAATGCAAAAAATTGTCGCTCTTTCGAAACCAACCATTATTATCTTACTACCATATTGGCTCTTACAAATTGGATAATGTTGAGTCTATTGTTGATTTGGGCGTAATCTTAGACCCTTAGCTACGGTTTCAATTACACATTGATTCTTGTGTGAATAAAGCTAAATCTTTATTAGAATTCATCAAGCGTTGGTCCAAAGAGTTTAATGATCCTTACGTAACCAAAAGATTGTTTGTTAGTCTAGTTCGTCCAGTATTAGAATATGGTTGTATTTTATGGGGTCCATTTTATAAATATTATTCTGATAAAATTGAATCAGTACAAATTCAGTTTTTAATTTTTGCCTTGCTTAGTTTAAATTGGAACCCCTCTGAACTTCTTCCCCCAACGAGAGTCGTTTAATGTTGATCGATCTTCAATCTCTTGAATATTGAATCTTTATGTTAAGAGCATTATTTATCATTAAATGAATATGTGCATTGATTGATTCCCCTTTTCTCACGGGTGAAATAAACTGTAATGTAAATTCCTATGAGGATAATTATCTTTAAGATGATTTTCTACCCCAGCGTTTTTTACCCAAGACTAAGATGCGCAATTTTCCGAGAAATAAAACTTTATAAGAAGAGGGTTTCTTCTCCCTTAGAAACAAAGATGTCCAATAAGGGCCAAAAATGAAAAAAGTGCCCAAGACCCCGAAAATACCTTAAATCATATGATGGTGATACCAAAACGTGATAATTTTTTGCAAAGATGGTTTCTTCTTAAATTATCAACATGAGCTAAAATTAGTACGAAAAATATGGTTAAAATGTAGAATATACTTGAAATCGGGTAGTTCCGTTATCAGGGGTTATGATCCATATCATGACCTGCCAAAGCGATTATAGGTATCTTGAATGTACATTTGAAAAAAGTAAGTCAAAATTAGAAAAAAATCATGCAAAATAAAACATTACTATTTTACATTTGAAAAGTCAAAATGAAAATTTTAATACATCACATTTTTATGCGATTTTCTTGGATATTATCCTTTTCGGAGAGGAGACAATTCCGAATTTGTGTGAATCGTTAAAATCAGTCCAGCGGTTCTTAAGTTATAAGCGTAGCAACTAACACAAATTTAACAAATTTTAATATAAATATTGATTCGACTAAATAGAAATAAATAACTATGGAAGGAGGGCAAAATAATTTCTGAATAGTCAAAGTTAATTACGCTTTTACAACCATTACCATAGCACCTCAAATTGCGCAGTTCCAAAAAGTCTATGTTCTTGTTCATAGTAAAATTCAATGACGATTAAACAATACCCGCGTTGTTGTCCGTCAATCGGTAAACATCACTATAGATCGGCGGGCCTGGGGACTGTACCAAAATATTTACGTATGTTGACATTTTTCTGTAAGATGGTTCTCTACTCACAAAGTATCCTAAAAACAGCAAATAATGGCCAAATCAGTTGAAAAACGTGGCCAAGACCACGGTCACAGCTGAGATCAGGGATACATTTATATAAGGGTTATACCAAAACGTGGCCCAACCAATATTCTCTTGGGGGTTACAAATTCAATAGAAAACAAAATTTTCTTTTCCGACCACCAATTAGATGTGAAAGTGGACTTGGAGATACTCCAATGTGGGGAGTTTACTTAAATAAATTCCTATGTGCAATTATCTGTATGATGGTTCCCTACCCCAGGGTAGCATAAATACAATTTTTAGCCAAATCAATTAATGAATGTGGTCAAGACCAAAATGGGCCCTACTCTGAAAATTTCAAATTTTATGCGAAGAAACAAAGATGCCAAATAATGGCCAAAATATTAAAAAAGTGACCAAGACACCAAAAATAGCTTAAATCATACGATGGTTATATAAATATGAAATCGGGTTGTACCCTTATCCGTGAGTTATGATCGATATCATGACCTGCAAAAGCGATTTAAGGTATCTTGAATGTTTGGGAAGAATTTCTGGAAGGATAGAAATCCTTTTCTTACTAAGAGCCCCATTCGCTCTACTATTTTCCACCCTTTATATTTGGTATTTTTCTGAATGTACATTGGACGGATTATTGTGACAGGAAAGTAGTAGTTCCACGCTTTGAAATGAGCCCCATTGGTCTTATTCGGTCATTTTTGTTTGTTTAAATGTGTTCGCATCTTCCAGCTGTAACGCCCAAAAGTCATGCTTTCGTTTTTGGGGTACATTATTATTTTAAATACCATTTTTACTTACATATGTTATATACATCAACTATGAATTATTTAAATGTATTTGAATATTAACGGTCACACAGGTCCCCTAGTAAAAAGAGGTATAATTAAAATACAACATTGGAACCCCTGGTGGCAAATGACGGAACTACGCAAAACTGTCAGATTGGGATCAGCTGCTGTCATGAGAAAACAACAATCGTCGACCAGCCAAAAAGGTATAAAAGGAGACGCATTTCACACAATCGAGACTGCCCTTTTTTACATTGATTTTTTTGGGGTTTTCTGAATTTTGAATTTTGTATTTAATTATTTGTATAATTGCCGCTGGCAGAATTCTGCAGCGTTTTAATATATTTGTAGTAGATAGCGAATAGCCATATGTTTATTTTATTCCTAATTTAGCAGTAAGTTATGCTGTTTAGATTTTAAGTATTTTATCAATAAATATGGCCTTAGGCAAAAACGAAACGAAACACAATCGAGATCAGTCTTCTGTTGATGGTTGGTAAGTCAAGAGTTATTGGGAGGAAGAAAAGGCGCGCAACCTTGGTTGAATTGAGTCTTAGTAAGCCAAACAATAAGCCTTGACTATTTGTGGTGACTGGACTGGACTGAACGCAGGGTCAAGTGAGGGTTGTAGCAATACTCCCTATTCTTGGGGCTGCGTTGACGGCGACTGAACGCAGGGTCAAGTGAGGGCTGTAGCAATACTCCCTATTCTTCGGGCTGCGTTGACGGCGACTGACGTACTCAGCGGGCTGCTGCTGTGCCAAAGCTGCCGCCACCCTATTCGTCGTTCGCCTCTCCATCGGGCCGCCGCTGTGCCAAGCTGCCGCCACTACTACTCGCCGCTGACGTATTCATCGGGCCGCCGTTGTACCAAAGCTGCCGCCACTACTATTCGTCACCTGCGTATTCATCGGGCCGCCGCTGTGCCAAGCTGCCGCCACTACTACTCGCCGCTGACGTATTCATCGGGCCGCCGCTGTGCCAAAGCTGCCGCACTACTATTCGTCATATTCGTCACCTGCGTATTCATTTAACATTTCGACTGAACTTTGTGATTTAGTGTTCTTCGTAAAAAGTTCTGAACGTGATTTTATTGTGTTTAGTGTAGTATTTAGTGTTATGTAAGGAAATAAATTTAAAACGTTTTAAGAAAACATTTTTGCTTCGCTCTCTCTCTCTTTATGTCCTAACAAATAAATTCTTGTGACGACTCTGGCCCCCGCTGAACCTGCCCCAGCTTCAAAGTGAAAACACGTCGTCACAATGGCGCCCGAGCAGGGACATGAAGGAGAGAAAGAATAAATAAATGAGTGAACAATAATTAGACAAATACGGATGAAAACCCAGTAAAAAAAAAACGAAAAAAAAAACTGAAACAAGTGAGAATAATAAAAAATGTCAAACGAAAAGACAATGTTGAAGGTCTCCTGGGCCTACATGCTAAAACAAAAAGACTTGGTAACATATCTTACTGAATTCAATCTTGATCCAGTTGGAAAAGTGGACGATCTCCGAAAAAGATGGGCTAAATTTCTCCACGACGACCATGAAGCCGATGTATACAGACGGCTTATAGAGTTGCAAAACAGACATGAAAGTACCAGTCCGACCAAATCGCCGACATTGCGAGCCGTCACAAAACAACCCCTTATAACCGTAACACCGTGTGGAGCAGAAGCAATAGTATTATCCCCAATAAAAACAGAGTACGCCCTTCCCCACACTTCCGCGGAAAAGGTCACATGGAGAGCCAAGCACAGGGGTAACAAACGGTCAAAAAGTACAGAAGTTGTCGCCAACAAACCCCGAATATGGATTTCAAAAAAATTCTCCGCCCAAGTCATCCAATAATTCGTCGTTAATCGTAATTCTCGACCAAATCCGAAAATGGAATATTACTTTTGAAAAGGGAATGGACCCTATTGGATTCGTAGAACGTGTAGAAGAAATGGCTGAAATGTACATCGTGGAATTGAATCAAATAACTAAAGTAATGCCAGAGTTGTTACGAGGTAAAGCTTTAATCTGGTTAAGGAACAACAATCGACACTGGACTACCTGGAGCAAATTTAAGAGCGATTTTCTGAAATTCTTTTGCCCCTGAGATACTTTGATAAATTGGAGGATGAAATTAGGAGAAGGATTCAGCGTAATAAGGAGCCGTTTAAGGAATATGTACTCTCTATACAGCATCTTATGCAGCACACCAATATGACCGAAGAACAAAAATTGGAACGAATTTTTAGAAACGCGCAGTCGGATTATCAATGGTACATTCGCCGTAAAGACTTTACCACACTTTCGGAATTGATCTCCTTGGCAGACGAACTAGAAAGCATACCAAATAATTCTCGGTCAGAACAGCCGCGACATCAACAAAACTATAATCGACATGCAGATAACTCTAGAAATAACCTGTATTGCACCAATCAAGGTGACCAAGTGCTAAACGAAAGCCCATCCAATACGGAAACGCAGCAGGACGAACCCCCGGCAAAGAAGAGTAACCAGAATATTACATCATTGCAATGTTAAGAATATCGCCTTACTGCAACTGTCTTAATAGAGGGGAAAGCTATTAAAGCAACTGTCGACACTGGTGCCACTAGCTGTTTTATAAAAAGAGAGTTTGCTGAAAAGATCAAGAAAAGGTTTACTTATTCACGATATGAGGCAAATGTTATCCTCGCAGACGGCACCGCGGTAAACATCACAAGATCAACGGTGTTACCTGTTACATTTGGAAGCCAAAGCTCAGATGTTACATTTCTCATCATGCCACAATTCAAGGAAAACATCATATTGGGATTGGAATTTCTAAAACAGTTCCACACGACCATTCACTGCGCCGGTATAAGCGTCAAATTAAGTAAGCCAACCACATCAACGGAGCGTTGTACCGTGGCTATAGGAGAGGAAACCCCATCAAAAGAAGTAATAGATACAATGACAGCTACGAATAATGTATCCCCCAACGTGAAGGAAGATAAATCATTACCAGGAACGCCGGGACACGTTGTCAAACTATCATCAACATCGCTATCTTCCCGATCGTCGTCGTCATCCTCATCAGCCTGGTCGTCTTCATCGTCATCCTCATCAGCCTTGTCGTCTTCATCATCATCCACAAGCCAAACGATGACACCTCATCAGCCAACATTGTGTAGCAGTCAACCTTCCATCGATGAAGTGTTTATACCCAGTAAGGAGAATAATAGCACACCAAGTACGCTCAAATTGCCAGTCACTGAAATCCCAACTGAGACAACGCCATCGTCCTCGACAGACAATCCCGGGAACGATAACACATTTCTCGAACTGCCAAATTATCCCGAAAACCTACAAAGCCGTATCGAGAAGTTTAAAAACAATTGGAAAAGGGGACACAAACTGAAGCGAATGGTTAAACAAGATGGCAAGCAGTACCGCATAATAATATCAGCAGACGGGGTAGTGAAGGTATCTCTCCGAACTTCTGCAATTGGTCTCTAACATACCTTTATATTCGACCGAGATATAGTCGAACCAAAGTGCCCATGTCGGAGAAATAAAAGGTTACATAACACCCTAGGGCTTCCTGGCTATTGAAACCCAATACCAATAGAGAAAGCAAATCAAGGAAATCAAAAATCAGAGGGAGGAAGAGAGGCCATGTAACGCCCAAAAGTCATGCTTTCGTTTTTGGGGTACATTATTATTTTAAATACCATTTTTACTTACTTATGTTATATACATCAACTATGAATTATTTAAATGTATTTGAATATTAACGGTCACACAGGTCCCCTAGTAAAAAGAGGTATAATTAAAATACAACATTGGAACCCCTGGTGGCAAATGGCGGAACTACGCAAAACTGTCAGATTGGGATCAGCTGCTGTCATGAGAAAACAACAATCGTTGACCAGCCAAAAAGGAATAAAAGGAGACGCATTTCACACAATCGAGATCAGTCTTCTATTGATGGCTGGTAAGTCAAGAGTGATTGGGAGGAAGAAAAGGCGCGCAACCTTGGTTGAATTGAGTCTTAGTAAGCCAAACAATAAGCCTTGACTATTTGTGGTGACTGGACTGGACTGAATGCAGGGTCAAGTGAGGGTTGTAGCAATACTCCCTATTCTTCGGGCTGCGTTGACGGCGACTGAATGCAGGGTCAAGTGAGGGTTGTAGCAATACTCCCTATTCTTCGGGCTGCGTTGACGGCGACTGAACGCAGGGTCAAGTGAGGGTTGTAGCAATACTCCCTATTCTTCGGGCTGCGTTGACGGCGACTGAACGCAGGGTCAAGTGAGGGTTGTAGCAATACTCCCTATTCTTCGGGCTGCGTTGACGGCGACTGAACGCAGGGTCAAGTGAGGGTTGTAGCAATACTCCCTATTCTTCGGGCTGCGTTGACGGCGACTGAACGCAGGGTCAAGTGAGGGCTGTAGCAATACTCCCTATTCTTCGGGCTGCGTTGACGGCGACTGACGTACTCAGCGGGCTGCTGCTGTGCCAAAGCTGCCGCCACCCTATTCGTCGTTCGCGTATTCATCGGGCCGCCGCTGTGCCACTCTATTCGCCGCTGACGTATTCATCGGGCCGCCGCTGTGCCAAAGCTGCCGCCACTACTATTCGTCACCTGCGTATTCATCGGGCCGCCGCTGTGCCAAAGCCGCCGCCACCCTATTCGTCGTTCGCCTCTCCATCGGGCCGCCGCTGTGCCAAGCTGCCGCCACTACTACTCGCCGCTGACGTATTCATCGGGCCGCCGCTGTGCCAAAGCTGCCGCCACTACTATTCGTCACCTGCGTATTCATCGGGCCGCCGCTGTGCCAAAGCCGCCGCCACCCTATTCGTCGTTCGCCTCTCCATCGGGCTGCCGCTGTGCCAAGCTGCCGCCACTACTATTCGTCGTTCGCCTCTTCATCGGGCCGCCGCTGTGCCAAAGCTGCCGCCACTACTATTCGTCACCTGCGTATTCATCGGGCCGCCGCTGTGCCAAAGCCGCCGCCACCCTATTCGTCGTTCGCCTCTCCATCGGGCCGCCGCTGTGCCAAGCTGCCGCCACTACTACTCGCCGCTGACGTATTCATCGGGCCGCCGCTGTGCCAAGCTGCCACTGCTACCCGCTTACTAACATTTTGACTGAACTTTGTGATTTAGTGTTCTTCGTAAAAAGTTCTGAACGTGATTTTATTGTGTTTAGTGTAGTATTTAGTGTTATGTAGGGAAATAAATTTATAACGTTTTAAGAAAACATTTTTGCTTCGCTCTCTCTCTCTTTATGTCCTAACAAATAAATTTTTGTGACGACTCTGGCCCCCGCTGAACCTGCCCCAGCTTCAAAGTGAAAACACGTCGTCATACAGCTGAACCACGATGTAGGCCCTAGAGTTGAAAGGTAGATGTCAGTTAACATCGTATTTCGCACTTATTTCATTTTTTTGGTGAAAAATTGTATATAGTGAAAAATTATTCTTTATTTTGTTCACAAAAACTCCACTGAATTCAATTTAATAATACAAATTGAAAAAAATTGACAAAAGAAGAATAACAAATTGAAAAAATCGTCAACTTGTTCGCTGAATTTTTACAGCAAATGTTTAAAGATCCTTATATAGCTTGTCAATAGAATGTACTTCTATTTTAAAATTCGATTCCATTAAATTATTTCGACATCATCTATTCCGTTTCGCCACAACATAATTCGGTACTACACTTCCATGTAACTCGCCATCAATTTCATTTCTCAAGAAATCAAGTAAATTAAATAAATTGGTTTAATATTCAAATTCAAAAATAAAATATAAAAAACACTACAAATGTACATTAGAAAAAAGTAAGTCAAAATGGAAAAAATCGTGCAAAATAAAACATTACTATTGTACATTTCAAAAATCAAAATGCAAATGTTAATATATTACATTTTTTTGGAAATTATCCTTTTCGGAGAGGAGACAATTCCGAATTTGTATGAATCGTTAAAATCAGTCCAGCGGTTCTTAAGTTATAAGCGTAGTAACTAACACAAATTTCTTTTATATATATAAGATAGATATAGATTAAAAAGTACTGACAACGACAGTTCCTCAGCCCCAAATAAATACTTAGAGGGGGATGGAAAGTCAACAGTATCTTGTGCAATTTTCAAACCGATATCTCCTCTATATTGGGAAATATAAGGATTTTAGATAAATCAAAATTGTGGGCGCAAAAGTGGGCGTGGTCTATATTTTTTTCTTTAAAAATCTAACCCGGGGTATGACGAAAGTTTTTACAAAAAATTATGCAAATCGGTCCAGTCGTTTTCAACTGATTCCGTTACCAACAAACAACAATTGATTTTTATATATATAGATATATATTGAGGGCAGACTGATTTCAGAATAGTCAAATATAATTACTATTTTACACCCATTACCGTAAAATGGGAACTAATTTTATTTGTCATTTAAATTGTAAATTGGAGACCCGATAAAGTCCATATTTTTCATCATTGTATAATTCAATGACGATTCAACAAATATTCGGTCCCGTGCTACTTTCTTATATCTGTAATTTGTTCATGTTTTCACAATTAATTATAGATGTACATCTCAAACTTACGTTCTTGGGGGTTACAAATTCAAAAGAATACAAAATTTTCTTTTCTGACCACACATTAGATGTGAAAGTGGACTTAAGAATACTCCAATGTGGGGACTTTACTTAAATAAATTCCTATGTGGCAATTATCTGTATGATGGTTCCCTACCCCAGGGTACCATAAATATAATTTTTTTGCCAAATCAATTGATGAATGTGTTCAAGACCAATATAGGCCCTACTCCGCAAATTTTATGCGAAGAGGTTCTCTACCCCCTTAGAAACAAAGATGCCAAATAAGGGCCAAAAATAGAAGAAAGTGGCAAAGACCCCAAAAATAGCTTAAATTATACGATGGTCATATATGATCGATATCATGACCTGCAAAAGCGATTCAAGGTATCTTGAAAGTTCGGGAAGAATTTCTGGAAGGATAGAAATACTTTTCTTACTAAAAGTCTCATTCGCTTTACTATTTTGCACCCTTTATATTTGGTATTTTACTGATTGTACTCCCAAAAAAGTTTGCATTTTGAGCTCTCATTGGACGGATTATTGCCACATGAAAGAAGTAGGTTCACGCTTTGAAATGAGTCCTATTAGTCTTGTTCGGTTATTTTTGTTTGTTTAAATGTGTTCGCATCTTCCAGCTGAACCACGATGTAGGCCCTGGAGTTGAAAGGTAGATGTCAGTTAATATGGTATTTCACACTTATTTCATTTTTTGGTGAAAAATTGTATATAGTGAAAAATTATTCTTTATTTTGTTCACAAAAAATCCACTGAATTCAATATGATAATACAAATTGAAAAAAATTGACAAAAGGAGAATAACAAATTGAAAAAATCTTCAACTTGTTCGCTGATTTTTTACAGCAACTGTTTAAAGATCCTTACAAAGTTTTTCAATAGAATGTACTTTTATTTTAAAATTCAATTCCATTGATTTCTTTCGATATTTTCCCGATTTGAGAATTTTTGCAATGAGATCTCTTTTTCGTGATTTTTTAGCGATTTTGAAAACGTAATTATCTTTTAACTTTGTTGTGATCGCGTTAAATTATTTTGATATCATCTATTCCGTTTCGCCACCACATAATTCGGTACTACACTTCCATGTAGCCTGCCATCAAATTCAGTTCTCAAGAAATCAGGTCAAATAAAAAAATTGGTTTAATATTCAAATTCAAAAATAAAATATAAAAAACACTACAAATGTACATTAGAAAAAAAGTAAGTCAAAATGAAAAAAAAAAATCATGCAAAATAAAACATTACTATTGTACATTTCAAAAGTCAAAATGAAAATGTTAAAATATCACATTTTTACGTAATTTTTTTGGATATTATCCTTTTCGGATAGGAGACAATTTCGAATTTTTATGAATCTTTAAAATCAGTTCAGCGGTTCTTAAGTTATAAGCGTGGTAACTAACACAACTTTCTTTTATATATATAGACTAGCTGGCCCGGTCCGCGTTGCCGGCCCGTAGTTTTAGTCTTTAATGCAAATTTTGCATAGCATAATATTTCACAAATCTAGCTCATAAAGGTGAACAAATTTTAATATAAATATTTATTCGACTAAATAGAAATAAATAACTATGGAAGGAGGGCAAAATAATTTCTGAATAGTCAAAGTTAATTACGCTTTTACACCCATTACCATAGCACCTCAAATTGCGCAGTTCCCAAAAAGTCTATGTTCTTGTTCATAGTAAAATTCAATGACGATTAAACAATGCCCGCGTTGTTGTCCGTCAATCGGTAAACATCACTATAGATCGGCGGGCCTGGGGACTGTACCAAAATATTTACGTATGTTGACATTTTTCTGTAAGATGGTTCTCTACTCACAAAGTATCCTAAAAACAGCAAATAATGGCCAAATCAGTTGAAAAACGTGGCCAAGACCACGGTCACAGCTGAAATCAGGGATACATTTATATAAGGGTTATACCAAAACGTGGCCCAACCAATATTCTCTTGGGGGTTACAAATTCAATAGAAAACAAAATTTTCTTTTCCGACCACCAATTAGATGTGAAAGTGGACTTGGAGATACTCCAATGTGGGGAGTTTACTTAAATAAATTCCTATGTGCAATTATCTGTAAGATGGTTCCCTACCCCAGGGTGACATAAATACAATTTTTAGCCAAATCAATTAATGAATGTGGTCAAGACCAAAATGGGCCCTACTCTGAAAACTTAAAATTTTATGCGAAAAGGTTCTCTACCTTCTTAGAAACAAAGATGCCAAATAATGGCCAAAATATTAAAAAAGTGACCAAGACACCAAAAATAGCTTAAATCATACGATGGTTATATAAATATGAAATCGGGTTGTACCCTTATCCGTGAGTTATGATCGATATCATGACCTGCAAAAGCGATTTAAGGTATCTTGAATGTTTGGGAAGAATTTCTGGAAGGATAGAAATCCTTTTCTTACTAAGAGTCCCATTCGCTCTACTATTTTCCACCCTTTATATTTGGTATTTTTCTGAATGTACATTGGACGCATTATTGTGACAGGAAAGAAGTAGTTCCACGCTTTGAAATGAGCCCCATTAGTCTTATTCGGTCATTTTTGTTTGTTTAAATGTGTTCGCATCTTCCAGCTGAACCACGATGTAGGCCCTGGAGTTGAAAGGTAGATGTCAGTTAACATCGTATTTAGCACTTATTTCATTTTTTTGGTGAAAAATTGTATATAGTGAAAAATTATTTTTTATTTTGTTCACAAAAACTCCACTGAATTCAATATAATAATACAAATTGAAAAAAATTGACAAAAGAAGAATAACAAATTGAAAAAATCTTCAACTTGTTCGCTGATTTTTTACAGCAAATGTTTAAAGATCCTTATATAGCTTGTCAATAGAATGTACTTCTATTTTAAAATTCGATTCCATTAAATTATTTCGACATCATCTATTCCGTTTCGCCACAACATAATTCGGTACTACACTTCCATGTAACTCGCCATCAATTTCATTTCTCAAGAAATCAAGTCATTAAATAAATTGGTATTAATATTCAAATTCAAAAATAAAATATAAAAAACACTACAAATGTACATTAGAAAAAAGTAAGTCAAAATGGACAAGTTAAAAAGCAGTAAGTTCGGCCGGGCCGAACTTTTAATACCCTCCACCATTTACAACGAATTTGGAAATTTTCAAAAAATAAAATCCTTAACAAATTCTGTTAAAATTTTAAAAATACCGAATATAGCCGTTATATTGGGGTCTATACGACGTGGACATACATATGCATTGTTTGTCATAAGCCATTACCATATTCAAATTCGAAACTGGACCCGCACCGACAATTTTCTGTCACAGACTGTAGTTCCCATAACGAACTTCAAATACCAAATTTTAAACAATTCCGGTTAATAATGTCGCTATCATCAAAATACCGAATATAGCGAGGTGCCGTTATATGGGGGCTATACGAAGACGTGGACCTGCACAAACAATTTTCTGTCTTAGGGTGTAGTATCCATTTGGAACTTCAAATACCAAATTTGAAACAATTCCAGTGAATAATGTCGCTAAAATCATCAAAATACCGAATATAGGGAAGTACCGTTATATTGGGGCTATACGAAGACGTGGACCTGCAAAGACAATTTTCTGTCTTAGGGTGTAGTATCCATTTGGAACTTCAAATACCAGATTTGAAACAATTCCCGTGAAAAATGTCGCTAAAATCATCAAAATACCGAATATCGGGAGGTACCGTTATATGGGGGCTATACGAAGACATAGACTTGCACAGACAATTTTCTATCTTAGGGTGTAGTATC